TAATCTCTACGCTTCTCTCTCTGCAATTACTCCTTGAGAGCATCTCTCTCTAAAATATTGAGTATTGCTGACTTGAGCGTCGGAGTGTTTTTCCCGAGAAAACAACCTCGGGATTTTCAAGTGTGGAAGCAGTTAAGGACTTCAACAGTGTTGGACTGCGAAGCTGCCCAAACATTTGGCGCCGTCTGTGGGAACTCGAACAAAAAGCTTTATTTCTATGTTGATCCGGTTGATCAGAGGGAGGAGAAGATGTGTGAAAGGCTCGTGGCTTATTCTCTTGAGTTGCAGATAGTTGCAGAAGCCGATTTGGTGAATTTACAAAAATGGTTTTATTCATCTATGAAAAAGAGAAGCTTCACCTGCAAAAAGAGAAGTTTTCACAAGAAGACAAACAAGGGATTAGCTTTACACAACTATCGAGGTTTTACCTAATGAAATAAAGGCACGCATGGTGCAATATCAACCATGAATATTCAAAAAGAAAAAGGGGTGTCAGCAAAGCACAAGTTTAAGGCAACTCAAAGTGGTAAAAAAATAAAAAAAAACAAAAAAAAATAGTGATAATAAATAAAAAGAAATGGTGGGCACGGGACCATGAAAGTTGCGACCACGATGAGACAAGACGAGCTCAAGCTTGATGGCAGCGACAAAGCAGCCGCCCAGCTCGTCAATGCCAAAGTAGTCCCCTAGCTTGGCAGCGACGAAGCAGTTTCCAGCTCGACAAAGCAGTCCAGCTCGCAGTGGCAAAGCTCAAAGCAGTGCTCCAGCTCGGCAGCAACATGACAGCCCAGATCTGCAGCACCAAAGCAGTCCAGCTCACAGTTGCAAAGCTCAAAGCAGTGCTCCAGCTCGGCAGCAGCATGACAGCCCAGCTCGGCAGCGGCAAAGCTCAAAGCAGTCCAGCTCGGCAACACCAAAGTAGTCCAGCTCGGTAGTGGCAAAGCTCAGCAGTGCTCCAGCTCAGCAGCAGCATGTCAGCCCAGCTCGGCAGCAGCATGACAGCCCAGCTCGGCAGCACCAAAGCAATCTAGCTCGGCAGTGGCAAAGCTCAAAGCAGTGCTCCAGCTCGGCAGAAGCAAGGCAGTCCAGCTCGGCAGCTCGGCAAATATGAGCATTCTCCAGGTCGGCATCTCGGCAGCGCCAGAGCTTAGGACCATGAAAGTTCTTAGAAAAATAAGTTCACAAATGAGGCGCCCTCAATGAGACAAGATGAACCCGAGCTTGATAATGGTGGCAAAACAGTCACCTAGCTCAACAGCGACAAGCAGTCCCCTAGCTCGGTTGTGGCAAAGCGACCTCCCAGCTCCTCACCACGTACCAAGCAACTTTGTAAAGAAGCTCGTTAAGGAAGACGCGAGCAATTAACAAAATATGATGATGGTTAGCCTGTACTTGCAACAAATTAATAGCACTTTATGAAACCAACGGGAAGACGCGGGTTTCGAACACAAGCATCCCTGGGCAATAAACCACTTAAGCTTGGTTATAGCTCTGCAATTATTGGGGAGATGGATACTAATCTTTTATTATTTTACTTTATTTTGGATGTTGTTTTATTTTCCTTTATTGAAAAGCAAGTTGGGATCTTCCTCCTTTTTGAATTTGTTCTTGCAAAATCCAAGAGATGAGTCCTTGACTAGGTAGCTTGCCAGTATGAAAATCTCTAGGAGCTGCATCTTGATCAAACACGAGCTCACGAGCTGCCGAGCTCAAACGCATGATGCAGAACTCAAGCATGAGCTCACGAGCTGTCAAGCTCAAAAGCATGATGCAGAACTCAAGCACAAGCTGCTGAGCTCAAAGGCATGATGTAGAACTCCAGCACGAGCTACCGAGCTCAAAAGCATGATGAACTCAAGCATGATCTGCCGAGTACGAGATGCCGAGCTGCAAGCATCCTACCCGAGGTCGAGCTAAAAGATGTGGAACACGAGCTGCATGCAACCTGCTCGAGCACGAGCTGCAGAGATGCAAATATCCTACCCAAGGTCGACCTGAAAGACGTGCAGCATGAATCGCAAAGGGTCAACACCCTCAAAAATGTGTCGACACCTTTTCTGCATCAGTGCCAAAGAGTCCGTGTCGGGTTTTTGTCCTTCCCTGCAAATTCTGTTAACGGTAAAATTACAGTCCCGATCCCTTACTTATGGATTCTGCACAATTTAATCACCAAATTTCATATCTTTGCAATTTACTCCTAAGGATTGTGACTTCTTCCAATTAAGTCCTTTCTAGCACAAAGCATGAAAATTATGTAAATTAAGTAAAATTTCATAAAATTCATCCAATATCAATAATATCAAGGTATAAATTTTACATTAATATGTACGAAGGAAGTGTACTTTCTTGATTATAAGATTGGATGCCTTTGATTTCTCTTTTTTTTTTTTTTGAAGTCCTTGTGATACAGGTTGTCAAGAAAACAATCAAGCTCCGCAGCAAACTAGAGCTTTGGTCCAAGCTTGGTCCAACCTTATATTAAAATTTATTATTAGTTGCTTTCTGCATTTCTTGCATTCGTTCTACATTTTTTCCATTCATTATGCACTTGTTTTTGCATTCATGATATCATTTTGCCATCTCATTTTTTATATATATCATAATCATTCTATTTTGCTCATTCGCACTCATGATTATAAATATATATGTGTTTCTATTTTAGAGATGAAAAAGTGCAGGGAACAGGTTAATTATGTTGGCCTAATCAACATATATGAAGCTCCCCATACACTATCAAAAAGTCAGAAGCTCCTCTGAATAAATTCAGACAAGAAGGGGGAGGAATAAGGGGAGTTCTACATTTTACATTCTACATCAAAGTTTGAAGAACAAGGGCGTGAATAATTTGAGCTTGCCCCAAGACCTCGTCAACAGATGAGCAGGGCCGAGCAAGATCCAAATCTTCATTTAGTGAGCTCTTACATCAGTGTTTTCCTTGAGCTTGCCCCAAGACCTCGTCAACAGACGAGCAGGGCTGAGCAAGATCCAAATCTCCATTTGGTGAGCTCTTACATCAGTGTTCTCCTTGAGCTTGCCCCAAGACCCTGTCAACAGACGAGCAGGGCTGAGCAAGATCCAAATCTCCATTTGGTGAGCTCTTACATCAGTGTTCTCCTTGAGCTTGCCCCAAGACC